AGCATATGTAAAATATATTTCGCTGAATATGAAGCCTGCAAATCTGCTATAAATCTGTTCGGCACTCTTTTCATGTGCAAGAATCCATATGTGATTAGAGTTAACCATTTGACTACAAAAGTAGCGATCCAAGCGTTTTGGTACCAATCTTGTATCTAGACCGTTAAATACCATGCAGTGGAAAAGAAAATTAGAATCAAACTGAAAGATATATCATCGGAGCACTGAGGAACAAGCTTTCTAATTTCACTATTTGTCAGATTATTTCAACTACCACACACATCATATTTATCACTCGTTCGGAGCTTGCATAAACACGAGGAAATAGCCATGTATGGGTGCTTATAGATTCCCAGTGCATGCATGTTTATAACTAGATTTTACAGGAATCAGAACAAAGACTAAACTGCTACCGGTACTTGCTGTGAATGACTCAAATTTAAACACAAGGAACCCCTTTCCCTTTGTCTGTTAGCTTCTAGAGGACAATCCTCCTTACAAAAAGCATTTTCTTTAAAGTGATATACTAAAGTTCCTTTTACTTTACAGGGTGTCCTTGGCAGTAAAATCACAGCTTTGGATACAATCAATAATGTCTAGTGCCTCATACTGACTAAAACCAGACCATGATATAAGACATCTGCAATACAGACAGGCAGGTCTCTAGGAGAGTGCTTCTTAAAATCTCTACTGAACAACCACCACGAGTCCACAATTTATTGATTACTCAACCTGTTCCGAAGGGGATATTGATAAAACCTGTAGGTGCTCTCTTGGGACTGGTTTAAAGGAACACTATAGTCACCTAAATTACTTTAGCTAAATAAAGCAGTTTTAGTGTATATATCATTCCCTTGCAATTTCACTGCTCAATTCACTGTCATTTAGGAGTTAAATCACTTTGTTTCTGTTTATGCAGCCCTAGCCACACCTCCCCTGGCTATGATTGACAGAGCCTGCATGAAAAAAAAAAATGGTTTCACTTTCAAACAGATGTAATTTACCTTAAATAATTGTATTTCAATCTCTAAATTGAACTTTAATCACATACAGGAGGCTCTTGCAGGGTCTAGCAAGCTATTAACATAGCAGGGGATAAGAAAATCTTAAACAGAACTTAAATAGGGCTCTCTTTACAGGAAGTGTTTATGGAAGGCTGTGCAAGTCACATGCAGGGAGGTGTGACTAGGGATCATAAACAAAGGGATTTAACTCCTAAATGGCAGAGGATTGAGCAGTGAGGCTGCAGGGGAATGTTCTATACACCAAAACTGCTTCAATAAGCTATGTTGTTCAGGTGACTATAGTGTCCCTTTAATATTAACTGTTCTAAAAAAACATTATTCAAAATAGTCCTTCACCCAATGGCCACAATTTTATGATATTCCTGCATTAACACAGAGGAGTTCCTTAAAGGCGGGAGCTTCATAGAAACAGTTTCCATGTTCGAGCAGCTTCATGCAAGCCTCAAATCATCAAGTACAATGATGATCGGATCGAGTGGTGAAAAGCACGCCGCTACTGGACTCTTAAACAGTGGAAACATATTCTGTGGAGTGATGAATCACACTTCTCTTTTTGGCAGTCTGATGGGCAAGTCTGGGTTTGAAGGATGCCAGGAGAACGTTAAATGTCTGACTGCATTGTGCCAACTGTAAAGTTTGGTGAAGGAGGGATAATGGTATGGTGCTCTTTTTCAAAGGTTGGACTAAGCCCCCTTACTTCCAGGAAAACCTTAATGCTTCAGTATACCAAGACATTTTGGAACATGCTATGCATCCAACTTTGTGGTAATAGTTTGATGAAGACCCTTTTCTTGTCTAGCATTACTATGCCCCAGTGCCCAAAGACATGGTTGGATGAGTTTGGTGTGGAAGAACTTGACTCGCCTGAACAGAGAACCTGACCTCAACTCTATCAAATACCTTTCAGATGTACTTGAATGGAGATTGTGAGCTTCTCATCGAACATCAGTGCCTGACCTCACAAATGCTCTTCTGGACAAATAAACAAACATTCCCACAGAAACACTCAAAATTTTATGGAAAGTGGAAGCGGTTATAACTTCAAAAGAAGGACCAACTACATTTTGATGTCTAAGTATTTAGAATTCAATGCCATTGTATGTTGGTATGATGGACAGGTGTTCCAATAAGTTTGTCAATATATTGTATTTACAATACTGAGAAGCCTTAAAAATATAATTGTAGTGGAGCTCCCTGTACCCCGGCTGGGTACCTCCGCCAAGGACCGCTTCCTAGCTGGAACAGGGGGAAAATCTCAGTACTTCTGGCCACAGTCTCCGTGGCTTGACTGGGGCCCTTGTACCGCTCTCTCCTCGAGCCAAATGGGGAATTCGTTCTAGACACCTCCAGGCACTGGACGACACTCAGTCCTGAGAGCTCTAGTCCTTACAAGGACGTTCCCTATTGAATACTCCACACTGGAACAGTGATTAAAGAGTAGCCCTTTCCCCTCCCAGTAACCAGACGACACATAGTTCTGGGAGTACAAGCTGGAATACTTTAATGGCAGCCACAACTGGCCTTTTATGCATGTTATGCAAGGGGCATTCCCCCTGGACCTGAGAGTAAACCACAGTAAAAACAAATACACAATTACATTGGCTCTCAGGTCCAGGACACTCCCTTACAAAATCAGATAATCCCTTCTCTGTGCCTGGGAGATAATTGGATCAGGAACTGTACTAATCTAATCCAATTATCTCCAAGCACAGAAAAAACATACTTTTTTCCAAACACCCCAAAAGTAACCTAAAAATACATAAAGCTTCACAAATAGCCCTGATCTGGGTGACCAACATATCCAAAATCACCCAGATCAGCTCAGGGGTTCAGGAATTTCCTGGAAGTCATTTATTTGACCGACCATATGCATGGTCCCATGCCCAAAACAGTTCCATAGAAACAGGGCTTGCGGTCGGTCTAGTTTAGTTCACTTTTTTAAACTACCGAATGGAATCCATAGTTCTAACATGGAGCTTGTTCACCTTATTCAGACAAATTATTCCACCAAACAGTGTCTTCCTAAGTGTTCTAAAACCGAACACAGGCGATATGGAAGTCTAGCGGTTTTTGGGAGTTTCAGTATCCGAAAATAGTTCCATGAACTCGACAACCAAACACCACTGCCTGAGTTCATGCTAACAAGATGGCCGCCACCTCGTGGTCATCCATAGGAATTGCGGCCACCCAGACGAACACTTAGAACACTGAGGTGGAAATTGCTACAAAGTAGCAATTAGGCTTAACAAGCTCCAGGGTGTTCTCCGGTTCATGCTGCCGTTCGGTTCCCGATCCATATAGTCTAATTACACAAACAAAAAGTTTACAGGGTCCATAGTATGTAGGCAGGAGACTGGCTAGCAGGCTCCTCCAGGAACTCATGGCAAATTCACTTAAAAAGGGGAGTTTGGCACAATAATTTTCCCATATTTACTGATGATAGCTTTAGGTTGTACAGTAGAAAACAGGTATTGAACCGTTAGAATATAGCGAGTGGGGTTGTTCAGTTTAGCCCCTAGAACTGTCAATAAAGCATTGTTAAAGGGACACTCCAGACCTTTTAAACACTTTAGCTTGCAGAAGCAGTGGCAGATTCAGGGGGGAGGGGAGCAACACCCCCCAAGAAAATAGGCCGCCAAAATTCTTTCAATTGTATGGGGCCCCGCGATCTCGGGCCCCTTACATACACAGAAACCCGATCTCCCTCACGGGTCTTTGTAGCAGGAAGGGGGGCAGGAGGCTCTCAGTCTTTACCTTTACGACTGCCACTGAGTCCCGGCTTTTAGAGCATTGCCGTGGTTGCCACGTAATGCTCAATTCTACGTGCTCCCGGGACTTGTGAGAAGAGCCATCACCCAGTGGAGCTGCAGAGATGAAGGCTGAGAGCCCCTGCAGCGCCACCAGACCACCAGGGAATATGCCTCTCCCCTCCTCCCTGGATGCAGGTAAGAAACAAGGAGGGGGGGTGGATAAACACTTGTAAAAAATATGAAAATAAATATAATAAAATTAAAAAGATCCCTATCTTCTTCTCTTCTAAGCTTCTCTTAAACTACAACCTACCTCTCACAATCACACACACTGTACCCCAATCACACACTGTACCCCTCACACACTGCACCCCTCACAATCACACACACTGTACCCCTCACAATCACGCACACACACTGTACCCCTCACAATCACACACACTGCACTCCTTACACACTGTACCCCTCACAATCACACACACTGTACCCCTCATAATCACACACACACTGCATCTCTCACACACATACACACTGCACCCTACACAACAGCTCCTATCCCCTAAAACAGGCCCTATCCCAGAAGACTGCAGGTAAGTTGTCAAACTGTTCTTACACAGTTTGACTACTTACTCTGGAAGGACACCATGACACTTCTGGCACCATAACCACTACATAGGGTGGTAGTGGTTATTGTGCCTTAATTGTGCCTTTAAAAAAAATCTAGGGTCTGGATCCGCCCCTGTGCTGAAGTGCTTTTTATGTAAAGAATGTCATTTTCATTTTTCAAAAAGTGAAGATTTCAACAGAACTTGGCTCTTTTATAAATTAACCTAGTTAGCCCATCCACACGTGTCCAGTTACTTCCTAGTTTGTTTACTTCAGTGGAGCTAAACTCAAGAGGCAGCAATTGGCCAGAGCACCTGCCTTGCAAAGACCTCTCATTGAGCTGCGTTGGGAAGTCTGCAATTGGACAGTCACAGAAAGTCTGGGCGGGGCTAGAAGGGGAGGGGTTGCAAAGGCAGCAGACAGGAGATCTGCACATTTTGCAAGCGGTTTTTCGATGTAACCCCAATGAAAAAAATCTCTAAGTACATGCATGCATGTTTTCATGGAAAGTATATCTACTAGTGGTGTTTTTCTGTTTTTGTATTTGGGCAGTGGATTGTCCCTTTATGCTACTGTGCAGAATATCTACTGAATCAAATACACATTATTAATCACTCAAGACATTGTCAAAGCAGATCTTTATTGTCATAAACAATTCATATACAAATTCAAACGTTTAGCTTTTTTCATAGGCAGTAGAGCTGAGTGCATGAAGCTAAGAACTTTCCATCTTTATATTAACTTTATACATGTTGCCTACTTGGCATAATTCTGGCAGCATAATATAGAAACCTGTAGAAATCACTAAGTGCTTGAAAACTAAAGACATAAACCAAGAGAAAGTGAATGGAATAAATAAAGAGTGATTCTTTGCAAATAGTTGAATATTAAACTGCACAGTGGATTGGCTATTCTGGAACTCCAAACCAAAAGCTGGCTGAGATTGCTGAGAGTTGTCAGTTTATAAATTGCTTGCAACGCATAACACTCGGTTTGCTTACAGAATACATTTTAAGAAAATGGTGATGAAATAGAGTACACACTACAGCCATGTTATATGATGTGAGCAGAAGACAAACAGCAGGTAAGAACTTGATGTACTACATCCTATGAGTCATCCTGCACTGCTTTAAAATTAGCAAATGAAGTATGAGCAGTGAGCTGATGACAGACAATTTCTTATCCATGGTAATTTAAAGCACTAGACTAGACCAACCTCTAACACACTGGACATGATTAAAGAGACATTCTAGGCATCAAAAAGAATGCAGTTGCCCCCTAAGAATACACAAACCAACCAATAGGAATGGTGGAAAATGCAAACTGGACTGAACCTGAACGACAAGGGTAGGATCTTCGTTATCACCCAAAATTGCGAACTGAAAATCTGTAACAAACGTTTGACACAGTCATAACAGTATATGTTCCACCCAATACACAAAAAATATAAAGATCGCTCTCTCTTTTCTTAAAGACACAAGAGTAATGTAAATGATATGGTACCCCACCCCAACCCTAAGATCAAAAACCAACAAGAACAGAGAATGCATTTACATGCAATGTAGAAAAGATGAAACCAATGTAGAAAGTCTTGAGCGTCAGCTCAAAATGTTCGACTACTGTAATCAGCACATGTATGTTCAGAGAATATTGTACCATAAAAGTTACCCCCCTGTCTTCCTTTCTGTATCCCCACCCCACAATGATCTTTTCCAAAAATAGAGAATTAAAAAAAAAAAAAATGCAGTTGCTAGTGCGTCATACAGAATAACTGCAACGTCTTGAACAAGTGAATGGAAGCTGTGCTCAGGAACATTACTGAGCACAGACCTGCGTGTTGATAGACCCGCGCATGCATTCTACCATTCTCCCATACAAATCTATAGGAGGGAAAGGAGTGGTTGACAAATCAGTGTCATTTCCTGGTTTAAGTGGATGTCAGTTGAGTAGGATCAGAGCGGAGAGATTTGCTAAAAAACCGCGACATGTAAAGGTAGAATTTATTAATTTGTGTGTCTTTTAAAGATTTAACATCTAAAGATACAGAAAATGTTCACAAAAGGTCACCACCTCGTCCATGGCAGTTTAAAGCAGGTTGTTAATATAAGATCATGAGCTTAGGCTTAAGTCAACAGATGTCTACTACACCATTGAATGTTGTAACAGAACTTGAAAAATATCACTAATGTTCACTAGTCAGGGGAAAATATTACCAGCCAAATGTTACACATACTGAAAGATATGCCATATTTTTCATCTTGCCACTGACCCATAGAAATGTCTTCATATTTCTACATTTCTTTTTGTCTTTCCTATTATATCTGGAATTGCAGTGTGCGTGCCTGCAATAATAGAACTGGAATTGATATGTGTGTGTGCAGCAGGATCTCTGGCTCGGTATTGGATACTGTGGATTTGCAGCAGACGTACAGGATGTAGGGTATATACATTCGGGGCAGCTGGAACTATTACAGGAGATTTCCTGCCAAAATCAGCCGAGTAATGCAAAGCCAACTAGTGCATGGAAAATCATCATGGGAACCTAAAATCGAACCATTATATCGCATGCAAACCATGAGTCACAGACTAAAATCAAATATTAATAGCATCAAAACATTTTAAGAGGAAATTCAAAGCAGAAGCTGTTTATCTTTATAAATGCCAGGTGAATCACGAAGTATCTCCTTGAATTTCAGCCTGTTGATCTTTCTAGTACTAACGAGTTAAATGAAATCAGAATGTGTGGATACACTGATTATAAACCTTTAGCAGGGTGTAAAAAGTCAGAAATGGGGTCAGTCAGACTGGAACAAAGGCCTAGGGATTTCAAAGTCCCTCAGCCCATTCTCACACTTCAGCGTGTACATTGTTCAAGTGTAAAACCCATAAACTGATGAACCTTAACAATTGGTTATAAATGTATTTATTAGCTAGAGAACTAGCTAGGAAATTGCTAAAATTTTAATAAAATAATCCTGCTCAGTTCAATGTTTTAAACTCTACTATTTTTGCCTAAATCCTCCTATCTTTACAACAAAGGTCACTGTGTCAAAACCCATTATTCACCAGCATTCATCAGTAAAAAGCGGTATTAAAATAAAACATCACTTTGTAAAATATATGACTACATACAAAAGTAATGTTAGTTTTCTAATATTGACATGAATTACCAGACATTACCCGCTGCTGTGTTACCCCTTTTTTACACATCACGTGGTAATTTATGAATCTACACACACATCTAACTGGAATAAGGTAGATATGTATGTTGACTATATTAAATATTCTGTGTAAGTACGAGACTTATAACAAAATCGACTGAAAGTAAAAGTTAAGTAAAACCATGTTTTTCGATACAAGGGCCTACAAAAGACATTCAAGAATGTGTATAGTTGTACACTATTCTTATTATTATTATTGCCATTTATATAGCGCCAACAGATTCCTTAGCACTTTACAATATTATGAGAGGGGGGGATTTAACTATAAATAGGACTAAAAACTAAATGTGTTTCTATGCCCTACCCTTCTCTAGGCCTCCCAACAGTTCTGCATTTGGTGGAACAGTACCAATTTTGGAGTCCTGTCCCGCGCTCCTGCTTTAGTTCCCTGGTGCCCTGCATCTGGGCACGGAACTGTCCCTGGTCAGCATAGAGAATGTGCATCATTTAATGCTTTTGTGCTGTGTAGCTGCCCTAGGCCCATGTAGGGATCTATTCCCACATTGTCCTGAAGGCTAGGAGCCGGTTATTCAGTGAGCATGCCTGCACCTTTTATTGGGCATGCCCACCCATTAACGGCATTGCTAGTGACGTAACTATTACCCCTTACTGATAGTTGGAAGGTATGTTCTCCCATCCTAGGTTCGAGACAGTAATTTTATATTGTCAGTCCCAAATTTAACATACCATATCTGCATTTCTATCAACTTATTGCCTCCCATTATGCCATGCCATTCATTTCATACACATTTTCACCCACCCACCTCATGCCCCTACCTGACAGTTTTTTTATGCCACCTATGTCATGCTTATCCATTGCTGTCATTCATTTGCCATTGCTTATTTCACCCAATGGCAAATCAGGGCCTGCTAAAAATACCTCTGCACTCTGACATATAACCAGGTCCAAATTTACTCTCTGTTGCTTACGCCATGATTTGGAGGATGCATAAGGAGTCAGAAAGTACATATCTCACTTTCCTCATCCAAAAAACAAAAACACAGCAAATACAATTACTATATAGCAAAATAAAAATATTTCAAAACTAATCTAAAAAGGAAAAAAAATTACATTTGATGTCAAGATAAATGTGCCTAGTACACAGGCTACTGTAGGCAGCTGCCCACTGGCATTATGTTATTAAAGAAGTAAAATGAATACATTTAATGAAACTCATTGTGATGATGTCAACCTATACAAACTTTTAAATGCTAAAGCATTATCTACAATATTAAATGATGTCATATATGGACTTCCACAAAATGTCATTCAAAACCTCTACTTGTACACTGTGCATAAAGCATCCTAATTCTTGAGAGGTTTGGAACTCTAGAAATCATTGTTTTCATCAGGATACTTATCATACTCCCCCCCACCCCCCTTTTTTTTACTGCTATTTTTAATTAGTTGACACAGTGGTTTATTGTTCTCATTGAAACCACATACCTCCCAACATTGCTAAGTATGGATTCGTAATATGGTGTGCGCACACTGTGCAACCCTCGGACTGTTTACTGTTGTGCCCGGATGTGGGACACCAGAGAAATAAATTGTGATGACGAAATTAGGACATGTTCGGGGGCATGATAATGTGTTCATCTTATGTGCAGAAACAAATACTAGCATCATATATTTAGATAGAGATATACATTTCCTTCCATAGTGAACTAAACATCGGGATTTGCGTGTACAAGATTAGGGGGAAAAAAAGAATATATATACGAAAATCATCTCTATAGCATCAAGATTACAGTCATCTAACACCTTTCATTTTAACTGTCGAATACACACCCAACCATTTAGTACAACTGTCAAACATTAATTGTTTTATATTAAAGGGGCTTTCCTTTTATTAAACTTTGCAATAGAGTGCACTTCTCTTCAGGGCCATATGTCAATGAATTGATTGCATTAATTATTAATTGTTCATTCGGCAGAGCAGAGCAGTAATATTAGACATTAAATACTCTTCAATTGCAGTTGCTATAAAGAAGTGTTAAGTGCAGATGACGAATTAGAGAGTATTTATAACATACAATGATAGGATATGTGTGAAGATAATGCAATTTGCTCTGTAATGAGGAATAAAAGACACAAAAATGTCATTTGTGCCAGTGGCATGTACATAAAACTGGTTAATTTGCTTTTACATTTGATGCAGACAGTGGAGCCTAAACCTGGTGAATTTAAATGAATCAAAAGAAAAAAAAAATCCGTTCATGAATGCTTTACCAGTTCTAAATGCACATTTCCATTTCTTGTATTATATTACCTGCTTCTTGTGCTTCAATAAGCCAAGTTGGCACTTTTATACAGCCCTGTAAAGCAAAGTGAAAATGATATTGCTTGTATAATTCCAGGGGAACATTCCATATTTTGAGATTCCATTTACTAGGTCACATGGGCTCTCACTCTTTGCACTTTCATTGAATACATGATACCAGTGGATCTTAACTGGGTTTTTTTGTTTTGTTTTTTTACAGGGTCCAAATTATTTACATGGCATTAGCCTGGTGATCCATTTTTAAAAAAGCTAAAATTATCTCTTTCCCCTTCCTTTCCTCGGTGAAGGCACTTTCATTACCGTAAACAATTTATTGTGGGCAGTTGCCTGGGTGCTGACAAATATGAGGTGTCTATTCAAAGCATTACGGACCCACTGGAATGACTTGAGGACCTGGTTTGTGTCCTGTCTCTGGGGGATAAGATTACTGCGTTACATTGACCAAAATGAAACATTATTACAGAGACTAAAGCAATACTTTTTAATGTACCTGCCCACTTTTAAGGATTTAGGCTGGCAGAGGGCCTCATTGAGAAGCAACACTGCTAATTTAGGGTGTCCTCTTGGCTGGCATTCACTCAAAGCTGTGTGCACCAATGACATCACTGACGTGAACGCATAGTTATGCGCCGTCACATTATCCTGTATCACTCCTGCAAGTTACCAAAAGGGTAAAACTCCACTGAAATAAGTTTAACATAAAGACAAATAATAACTAAACTTTACACATAAATCCAGCCACATGCAATCTTTACACATATATACACACAGTAACAGATTGACTCTTCTGGACTTAAAGTATATTTAAAACAAAATGTTTATTGAAAAAAGTAAACGTAGATGTATATATTACGCAGACCACGATATTGTGCACAAATCTGCCATAAGCAATCACCGATTACTTGGCTCATAAAGTGTACCCATACAACTTCCTTCTGGTGAGGAGGTGAACCTCCTGAGTTCAAGGAGGCTGTATGGTGACACTTTATGGGCTAAGCAGGTGATTATTGAAGGCAGATTATTGCACAATGTGGTCTATGCTATATATACACCCATTTTTACGTTTTAAATAAACATTATGTTTTAAATCTACTTTGAAGTCCAAGAGAGTCGATCTTTGGTTTTTCTGTTGCTTGGCCAAACGCTTGCCACTGTGTTTAAATTGACTCTAGGACACCACTTCAATTTTAATACATGCAAAAATGGAACCTGTGTGAAACAACCCAAGTACGGGGGAGCACATTTTTCTATGTTTGCATAACCACACATTACACATACACATACAAACAATGCTATATTTTGTATATGTAATCACACATACATTATGCAGTCACTCATGTATACACAGACACACAACAATTAACACACACATTGCATTTGCATACATATTTACATATATGTCTGCAAGGGACATGCTAGCATAGTATGTGCGGTTCAGGCCATTAAGGGGAAACAGTTTGCTTGCCCCAGAATATTCTTTGGCCTGTTAGTTAATCATATAGATAGGTCCATAGAAGATTCAATTAGAAGAAGAAAAAAGAGTGGATGGAAGGAGCAGCAATATGTGCTTAAATGGAAACTCTCAGTTCTAATATTCATTTTTTTTTTTTTTTTTAATTCTTTATTTTTGGTGCGTTTTCGTTTTTACACGATCACGTCCGGCCCCAACAGCCAGGACGGACACTGTAATTATAATGCAGAGTAACAAGGTTGGTAACGGGTTAGTTAACAAAACATCTTAGGAAACATTCGCACATTTTGTTTTTACATGGGAGTACTAGTAGGTTTTGTTGTAGCATTGTGTTAAGTTATGAGTGCGTTGGTGAGGGGAGCATGTGGGTAACCAATGTGTTAGTAGTGTTAGCCAGAGGTTTGTTTCGGTTATCCCAGTAGGTAAGTACCCCTAACCAAGGGGGCATCGGGGGGGGGGGGTGTTGTACACCTCTTGTGGGTGTATCTCATGTGCGTATGCGAGACGGGCGTGAGGCTGCCTTTTCCCGGAACTGTTTAGTGTGTATACCAGGTGGTGGTAGGTTGTATATTCTATGTGTATGCGGGGTGCTTCTGAGGCTGCCCCTCTCTGGGTCTGTTAACGGGTATGAGTGAGGTAACCAGTGTGTGTAGAGAAATCTGAACAGAGGTTAGTATAATGCATAATATAAGCCAGTATTCTTGGTGGTCTGGTAACGTTCGTTCTTCCGTGTGGGATAGTTGCGCCCATTTCTTGATCAGTCAGGTAATAGGTGTGGTTCTCGGTGCGAATGGGATCGTTGATTCAGGGTCCCAGGTGTGTTCGGCTTGGGGAGCAGCGGTTGCGGTTGGCGTTTCAGTAAGGCCCAGTGTGTGGAGTATTGCAGGTACCTCCGCTTCAGTTGTAAGCTTGTGGGTCGTCCCGTTGTGTACTATTAGTAGGGATCTTGGCATGCCCCATCTATATGTTATCCCAGCAGAGCGCAGGCGGCTGGTGAGTGACTGCAGTGATTTGCGCCAATGGAGTGTAGTTTTCGTGAGATCCTGGTAGAGGGTTAGGTGCGATCCTTCAAATGGTAATGGGGTTTTACCCCTCACTGCTGCCATGATCTGGCCCTTATCTTGTAATGTATTGCATCGGAGGATGACGTCACCAGTGATTGGGACTGCCGTCTTAGTGATGGTGGGCAGTCTGTACAGTCCACTGATAGTGAATTTTTTAGCTAGCGCTGGCGGCAACAATGATGCAATAAGTCTCCTTGTATAGTGAGGTAGTTCCTCTGAATCGATCTCTGGGGGTATCCCGCGGATTTTTAGGTTATTACGGCGATGTCTATCTTCATATGCCGTCATTTGAATTGACATAGCCTGTTGTGTGGTTTTTAAGTGGACCATTGCAGTTTTCATTTCAGCTACTTCATTTTGGAGTTTCCCAATGTCCCCTTCAGTGTGAGTTGTCCTGTCATTGAGCTGCTGCATGTTAGATTTCAGGGAGGACATGTCTGCCGTTAGGAGCCTCTGTATTTCCAGCAAGGTATTTTGCATATTGTGGAGATCCTGCTTAGTGGCAGGGGCTGTGCCTCCAGGGATGTCCCCAGTCATGGGGTGTGGGTCCCCCTGTGTTGCTGGGATGTGTGTCTGGCTAGGCATGTCAGGGGTTGCATGGGGATCAGGACCGTTAGTGGCCGCCATTTTGGATGGTACCTGCCTTTGTAGGAGAGTGCCAATGTCCTGCTGTTCCGGTGCCTGGGACGTTTGTGGCCTCTGTGAACGTCTCCCCATTGCTGGTGTAGGACTGTGGAGAGTTGTTGCCGGGTAAGCCGGGGTCTCAGCTACCCTATGTGCGCCCTTTCCGCCAAACAGTGCCTCGAGGTCTGCAAGCGTCGGAGTGAAGTAGGCCCCGGTCTTCTTTTTCGGTTTGGTCTGCCTCGGGGTGTATTGAAAAGGCATCTGTCGGTGCCGCGGGATGTCCCCAATCTGTACCCGCTGGTTTCAAGCTCGGATGGGGTCTGGTTTTGTCAGATTTTCGGCGGATTTCGCTCGCCGGGAAGGAGCTCTCAGAAATGGCGTCTAGCCCGTCTCGCGGTCAGGCTCCGCCCCCCCTCTAATATTCATTTTTAATGCATATAGTTGATATAAAAAAATGCATGAACTATTTTTTTAAAACTTTCCTTAACCTTACCTTTTATCAGCCGCAGAACTCACTAAGACCCTCCTCTTTTTACTCAACATTTACTTAGTTAGCATTTGGCAATTCGGAATTAGACATTTCTTTATACAGTACCAGTATATATAGCTGCCTAATTGACTGCCAAGTTTGTGTGACTGTAGGAAAAAATAAAAACAAACCTATATATTTAAAAAAAATTATTTAGCTAAAAGACTGGAGGCATAGGATATCTGCACCATAACCACTTCAACACCCTGAAGTAGTTTGGGTGTTTAGATTGACTCTAAACTTTTCAGAATTATTTGAGTATTTTGTCAAAGAATACCTTTAATGTTTTTTCCTTAATTTCAATGTAAATGTCACATTTGTATTAAATTGATCTTGTAATTAGAGCTTTACTTTAAGCCCTAGTATCTCATTAACCAACAATCACTGATCATAATGGTCAATGAAATAACTAACTTAATGAGACTTTTAGTTTTTACTCTGAATAGATCTGCCTGCATGAAGATTCTCCTGCTTCTGTAGTCACTCAGCCCTCAGCATAGCTGTGCCTGTGTCTATGCTGAAACTTGACTGACAGTTGATAAAGTGGGAGTTTAAAGAAATAGCTAAATATGTATAAATTTACTAGCAATTCTGCTAGCACAATGCACAAATGAAATGTTATGCTCTTTAAAATGAGCATAAGCTATGTGTTTCATCTTTTGAATCCAGATTCTGTCATAATGTTTTCTTTCCAGGGCAATGATACACTTTGACTTGCTGGGCCTACATTTAAGTGCAGTATCGGGACATATTTGTCCCAGGTTACGTGAGGATGATAGCAGTAGCACTCCTGGGCTGCAGGTGTGATTCATGACTGCCATTAGTAATTCCCTAAATCTCTCCATATTTATATGCCAGGCAACTCTCTCCTTAGGACCTCACCTGACATATTAACAAGGTTAAAAACCCTTTATTTACTTACCTGATCCAAGCGCCGAAGGACTGGCTCCGCCTATTGAATGAATGTTTTCCTATGGGGAAAAAAGCTAATGCTGGATGTTCTCATGCAGAGCGTGAGGACATTCAGTGTCAGCTACTGGACCAAAAGTGAGCTGAAGTGGTATGGTTGCCTATAGTGTCCCTTTAAATACAAGTACCAGGTAGAATCATTGTATGTTTTAGTTTGCCTTTGCACAGCATCTGGAAGGACAGGAAAGTGGCATTCTCTGGGACTCCAGCTGCTGTAGAACAAAACTTGAAAAAAAATATAACAACAAAACACATTTCTGCCAAACATCTTGCCTGGTTTTGCCTTTGGACTTTTAAATTCAATTGCAGTCAGTCGAGCCTGATTAAATGCTCTCCTTGAATCACCCATCAGCACTAATAATCAATATAATTCTCAATGTTTACTCAACAAGCAGTGGTGATCGGACAAGGATGTCTCGTAATTTAGCAATTCTAGCCTAAATGTGGTACGTTGGCCAACAGCTCGGTGTTTAGCGAATAATCTCCTAATATAAAGCTTTTTAAGAGCAAAACACAATGACATAATACAGGCAACTGAACTTGTTAAAAATAATTAGGGGCAGGGATATTTCCAGATGAGTATATGTAAAGCCCTATGTGAACACCATTCTGTTTGCAGACTTGTTCACATCATGATCTGTTTCAATTATCATTGACAAATGGTGCATTAAAGGATTTTGATAAATCTCCTGGATCTGCCAAAGGCCAAGAGGCCAGAGACTAAGTACCTTTAGCACTCACACAATGTGTCAAAGCCGACATCATTGAGTGTGTTAGCGTATGCTTATAAAATGTCCTGAAAGCACTGAACAGAAAGAATCACGTATCATAATATAATACGGCATATCAAAGGGTGACTGGCCTTAGTTAGCCTCTCGTATGCAGTGTTAATGTAGTAACTTAGGTTGATAAAAAGACATAATCTCATACATTTTCAGAGTGACCATCCTCATGAATTGTGCATAAAGACGTGCCATTTACAGCCAAGTCAAACTCATCAGTGCTTGATAAAATGAGCTGTCTTTTTTTTGTAAGTGGCCCAATAAGTGCAATAATGTAAGAGTATGAATTAGATGATTCAAGTGTACTCTGTAAAATTAGATCAGTTAAAAAGCATTGTACATCATGTTGGCTCTTAAAGCATTCAGGATGTTTGGTATCAGTGGCCAATTTGCTCATTAATTGCAGAATTTTCCACATCGTCATTTTCAATCTTAAAATTAAGCACAAGGAAACTCAAAAATTCTAAACATCTTTCCTGGCTTATAGGGGGACTATAAGCTCCAGAACCACTACGGCTTCCCCATGGGGAAGCACTGACCTGGCTGAGATCATCTATGATGATTATTTTAGCCAGGGGTGGAGTGGCAAGACTGATGAGTCAGGGTTACCAAATGTATTTAAATTATGGATCATAGTACTCCTTTCATGTTTAGGATATTGTGGATGGATAAAATACCCCCAGGCACGACCAGGCACCCAGACCATTTCATCTCCTTGAAGTGGCCTGAGTGCTGTGCCCCTGATCCCTTGCTATATAATGTAAAACACTGCAGTTTCAGAGAAACTGCATGAGGACATCCTCTGGAGGTGGTCTTCCAGACAACCAGTAGAGGCTCTTCCTGTATTTTCACAGAGTTTAACTAATGGGAAATGGTGTTGAACATCCTCAAGCTGTATATGAGGATGTCCAGCATCTTTTAAAATCTCAATAGTAAAGCATTGATTCATTGAGAATTGATCAGCATGATATCACTGGAGGAGGAAATGGATACACCGCTGAGGGACTGGAAAGAGGTTAGTGTTAAAAGGGTTTCTAACTATTTTAACTTAAAGGGGGAAGACAGGGGGACACTATAGTGTTAGGAATAGAGTTTTGTATTCCTAACACTATAGAGTTCATTTAAATGCATATTATAGAATTCTGCCATACAAAACAGAGTTCAATTTTATTTAGCTATTTTTTCATCTGCAATCTATCCTAGCTAGACAGCCTGCAGATGTATTGATGAGGAATTATTTTTTTTAACTTACCATTCAATAATAATAATAATCATTCTTATTGTGCAATGATGCAACTGCTACCGGAAATAGACAAGTTTAGTAAAAAAAAAAAAGAGAGAGAGAAAGCACATAATACATTATCTACTCATTTGATAGCTGTCTGGCTATAAAAACGCTTTTGATTTTTGTTTTTA